CAAATAGAATATGAAAGTTAATGTCAAGTCCTTAACTATAAAGAGTAATTTTTTTAAATAGAAGCATTGTCTGTATATCTTTGAAAAAGTTGACTTATGATAAAATGTTTGGGTAGTTAATTGCAATTCAGAGTAATATCAGGATGTGTGGATTCTGAGGTTTTGGCTTCTTGCGCTTTCTCTGAGTACTTGACACAATTTTTTGAATATTTCGAGTTTTCTAATGAATGGTATACTAGTTTCTACTGTTTCATTTAATTAAAACTTCTCTAGTGTTATGTAAGGGCTTTAGTATTCTGGATGATGGGAGTGGCTTTTTTCATGGAATATGGGGTTTTATTTAATCGAAACATTTCTCCAGTTTATTACAGTGTGAAAAAAACACTCAAAACTCTGGATTGTTTTATTTCATTTTTGTTGGATTGTGTTAATACATTCTTTTACCTGGTCTAGACCTAGCTGTGCTATCTTATCTTACATTTGGGAAGTATGCAGATGATAGACGTGGGAAATGGCAGGACATTAGCTCTTATTTCTTTCCAGAATAATTTACTATAACTACTATACAGTTTATTATATAGTATTATACAAAACCTATTAAATCCACTCAGTTTCTTGTATTCTAAGTGTATTCAGTGTCTGTTACGCCTGGCAGCAGACTATTCCCAGTAGCTTCTAAAGTGACTAATAGGTATTTTTACAGTACCAACAGTATAGCCGATTGTAATTCTACAACCAATGATTAGGCATCAACTATTCTGCTTTAATGGAACACAGTGAATAATTCACTTTTAATGAGTAATTATTTTTTAAAAGATGTGATTACCAAGTTTAGCATTTTGAAGGTTTAGTTTAAGGTCTTACTAACTTAGGTTTTTAAGTTAAACAATCTGATAACGAGGTAGTAATATATTTTTAAGTTTTTAGTTTTTTTCCCAGACACATTATCAATACAAAGTTTTGAGACCCTCCCAAGTGTTTATTTTTATATTTTACTGTGTTTTTTCTTTACAACCTGGATAGTTAACCACTTAAGCCAGGAATCAAAAAGGGGGAGGTTTTTCATTAGAAACTTGAAGAATGTTTTGTTTGGCAAGCACAGTATATTTCACACATTTGAACTTTAATACCTCAATACTCTCTTCACCAGTTACTCCCTGTGGTCTTATCAGACTGAGCTCTGATCTAGACTACAAATGGTCATTTATTTTAAAGTGAAGAAGAATTAATCTGGAGGTATTTTAAATTTGATTCAGAAAGAAGCTTTATCATTAGGAACATAATGTAAAATTAGAGGAAAACTTTTTTTTTAAGATATAGAAAGTTGCTCACTAACTCCTTTCTCATTGCTTTGGTTACTGACAGTAGTGTTTTTATTCCTATTTTTTTACTTTTCCCCAATTTGTGCATTCAGGATTTCTTACTCAGCTGTTTCCCCGAGTTTTTTAAAAGAAGCCAGTACACAACAGACTTTAATAATTTTTAAAATTTTACTGAGCCAAAATTACTTGTTTTGATGAGAATGTTTTGCTCAGTTTTTAGTTATGCTAATTTTACGATCTAAAAGCGTTGGTGTGCATAGGTGCAGTCACAAATGGTGTTTTGAGCATTTGTGTACTTCTGCTAATATTCAGATGAATTTTATTGGTGAGCCAACTTCCTTTAGAATGTGCCTCCAAATTCTGTATCTTTCCTATTATATACCCATTGAGGTCAGCTTCATCAAAGAGTATTAGATTCTTTACATAATCAAGAGCACATTCTTTGGAATTATGTTTAGTGGAGTAGAATTGATAAACAAGCCATCAGAGATCACAGGCATATCATGAGTTTGTATTTCCTGGAACATGAAAGATAATCTGAAGTACAGACAGATCTTGCCAAGTAGAATATGAAAGTTAATGTCAAGTCCTTAACTATAAAGAGTAATTTTTTTAAATAGAAGCATTGTCTGTATATCTTTGAAAAAGTTGACTTATGATAAAAAGTATTTCATCAAGGAGTATTAGATTCTTTACATAATCAAGAGCACATTCTATGGAATTATGTTTAGTGGAGTAGAATTGATATCCCCCTCTGGATTTCAGTGTACTTATAGTACACTAAATTTATATTACAAATTTATATTAAGTATAATATATGAATCCTTTCTTTTTAGAGCCAAATAACTGTAAATTGTAAAAGACAGATTTAAATATTTCGCTGTCACTGAACTATTGAAAACGATTTTCCTGACTGAGGCAGTGTTCTTTAGGTCTTGGCTACAAATGACTTTCCTTAAATTATAATGCAGATTCATATGTCATATTCCCCCTGACCAAAAATTTTGGTAAGGTAGATTTATAGCAAGATTTGAAATAACATGCTCTTTGGCTTATCTTGTCCATTTTATTAATTGAAAAGATGATTTAAGAAATATATGATATAAAGGACATATTAGAAAGAGATCCTGAAGCCGTTGTGAATTCTATTTATTTATAGACTAGAGGCCCGATGCACGAAATTTGTGCAAGAGTAGGCCTTCCTTCCCCCAGCCTCCGGCACCGTCTTCCCTCTGGCACCTGGAACCCAAGTTTCCCTTGCAGCCCTGCCTTCATCTGGAAGAACATCCGGTCTAATTAGCATATTACGCTTTTATTATTATAGATGGTATGCCTGGGAATAAATACTGTGGGAATGTTTAAGGATATGTAAGGAAACAGTTTGCACTAATTTAGTTGCATCAGTGGGTTTTAAGTTATCCAAATTGATTATGCCCTTCTCTGCTTTTTAAGAAGTCTAATTTAGTATTTTGGCTTTCTTGTTTTTGAAGTTAGCAATAACTTTTAATCCTTGTTTTCACTGTGACAGGTAGAACTCTGCTTTAAATAAAAGTGACAGAATGCAGATGAAATACATAATTTGGGGTCAGAGCTTTATCTTGATATTTTAGCTTGTAGAATAGGTAACTTTTTTTCCTTTTAAATACCTGTTAAAGATAAATCTGCTTTCTGAAAAATTGAAAATGTAATTTTAAAATTTCACTTAATCTTCAGCTGCATTGCTTTCTTTAGAGATACTGAAAGCATATTTCATGAAGGTGCTCCTTCTAGATGATAGACTATGTTCTCCTTTTTTTATATATAATTTTAAGTAGGATAACATCACAACCGTTGTCACTAATACAGTATTTGGAAGGAATAGTTAAGATACTTGTGAATATGATCTGTGATATCACTTAATATTTTGTTTGGTACAATTGGCTTGTTTCATCAGAAAAGTATTGATCAGATAGGTCCTGTCCAAATACTGTAACCTTTAGCCACATGTGGCTAAAACCTTAAAATTTACAAGCTATTCATTTGCATTAGTCATATTTCAGATGCTTAATGGCTCGTAGCTAACATTGTCAGTCAGATATAAAACATCACAGAATGTTCTGTTGGACAGTGCTGATTTAAATGCTGTCACAAAAGAAAATCGTTTAAAGAATTGAGATCAAAAGTTTTAGGAAGGGGCCCAGCTGGTATGGTTCCCATCGACCCATGAACCAGGTCAGGGTTTGATTCCAGTTCAGGGCATAAGCCTGGGTTGCCAGCTGTGTCCCCAATAGGGGGTGTACAGGAAGCAGCTGATCAATGATTCTCATCATTGATGTTTCTCCCTCTCTCTCTCTCTGACATCAATAAAAATATAATAAAAGTTTTAGCAAGGGGAACACAATAGGTCATGTCTAATATTTAAATAATCTATCTTAGGAAGTAAAGAAAGACTAGGATATTTCAGAAAAAACCAGTAGCAAGAAGAATATGGCTACCATATGAGTGCCTGATAACATCAGGTAGGTGCTATGTTAGGCAAATTACATGTTATGTAATACCAATATTGAGTGAGGTTAATGATAAGCATTGAGGGCCAGAGAGGCTAGTTAACTTGCTTAGCATCCTAGAGCTTAAACAAAGGCTCAAAATCTGTGATTCTAAACTATTCTATACTAGATGGGAACTTCAAAGGTAGGATCAGCCTGTCTTCTAAGACTATAGCTTTCCAAGGATATAAATAGGTGACTTTTGAAGCATGTAGCTATATAATTAGAGCTCAAGTTGAGCCTGAATAACCATCTGTAAAGAATACTGGAATTGATCCCTCTGTGAGGAAGGTTAATGAAAATGTTCTAAGAGTCTGGATTAATACCAGTGGAAACAATGAATTAGGAAACTGAAGTGTAAATAACATTTGGTGGTATACTGATATTCCCACTCCACCCCCCATTTTCATTCCTGTCTGGATTCATTATGAAGTCTTCACTGTAAACTGTTTTATGGTTGTGTTTTGTTTTGTTTTTTTCTGTTAAAGATCAAACTCTGCCTAGTTTAAAGGCATAGAGCAAGTGTGAAGACACTACTGGGCAAACTAGAGAAGTTATGCTCTTAAGTGGGTAGCCTTTAGTGGTATTCAGTAGGTCTCATTAGAGTTGTACCTCATGATAAATTATAAGTCTACTAGAGGCCCAGTACATGAAATTCATGCACGGTTGGGGTCCCTAGGCCTGGCTGGCTACCAGGGCCAGGCCGGAGAGGAGGCGATGGTGGCCGGGCACAGAAGGAACACACTGATGCCACCGTTGTTGGCGCCCCACCACCACACAGTTCCCTGCCTCCCCCCTCCTCCTTCCCTTGTCACTATGCTGCCACCGTGGCGGGTCAATCAGGGCCTGTGGCAGTGGGGACAGAGCACAGGAGATTGGCTGCTGGCCCCAAGGAGGGAGCCAGCCCTTTGCCCTCCTGGGAAAGGGGCCACATCCACTGCCACCCATCCCCAATTCCCTGTCCCAGCCCCAGGGGCCGTCCCCAATTGGACCATGGGGCCTGCCGGCCGGAGTGGGGAAGGACCATGGGAGGTTGGCTGTAGGAATGCACTGACCACCACGGGGCAGCTCCTGCATTGTCTGCCCCTGGGTGGTGAGCGTCATAGTGACCAGTCGTTCCGGCTTATATATATAGATGTTCATATAGTAGACATTGGTTATTCTTACAGTTTTATTTTTGTGTACACATTTGCTTAACAATCACTGAACTTTTAGGCCAGGTTCAGGTAATTGAAGAGCCTTTATAAGTAGTTTATATTGCCTAGAACTAAGGTATGCTGAAAACCCAGTCTGGAGCAAAATGGGAAATAACATCTTTCTAAAGATAGGTTGAGAAATTCTGATCCAGTAGGTTAAGATGTTTCCTCTCTCCGGTAGCAGGGCTGAGGAATACCTGTAAGAAAATATTAAGAACAGTTCACGAGAAAAGATCATTGTGTCAAGTGGCAAACCAATATACAATGTATGTATTAATCTCAGAAGTCAAATAGTTTAAAGATTAAGGCATAACTACTATTAGTCCTCAAAACTGTCTCTTTGGGGCTTTTTTTTTTTTTTTTCTCCCTCTTCAGTTCACCAATGGAGGCTCATAGAGCATAGACTGCTTGATATAAGAGTTCAGAGAAAAACGATTATTTTGGAGTAGAAGGCTTATAGCTAGACATTTTCTGACTTCTTAGTGGAAGTGCTCAAATTCTTAAGAACATTGTATATATAACACTAGAAATTTGTGAACCTGGGGGGGGGGGGTAGGTTCCTCAACCTGGCCTGCACCCTTTCACATTCTGGGAGTCCTCAGGGGATGTCCGACTGACGGCTTAGTCCCACGGGAGTGGGCCCAAGCCGTCAGTCAGACATTCTTAGCAATGCTGTGGAGGTGGGAGAGGCTCCTGCCACCACCGCTGCACTTGCCAGCCGTGAGCCCGGCTCAGGGCTTCTAGCTGAGCAGCGCTCCCCCTGTGGGAGCACACTGACTACCAAGGGGCAGCTCCTGGTTGAGCATCTGCTCCCTGGTAGTCAGTGTGTGTCATGGTGACCAGTCGATCTGCTGTTCAGTTGATTTGCATATTAGCCTTTTATTATATAGGATGGTTTTAGAGCTAAAAATACTATTTGTAGCTTTGTAAGTTCTAAATTAATGTAAACTGTAAATTAAGGTTACCAACCTGAACTACACACCCAAGAGGTACAGTGTGATAAGTTTCAAGAACTGTTTTCAAATTCTTAATAGTTATTTATAAGGAAAAGAAAAAGTCTGAACTCCTTCAAATCAAAAGGTAACAATGCTGTAGAAAATGTATTTGCTGTTTTAAATTACATATTTTCTAGGTAATCATTTATATATTAAAGTTTTTCAATGATTATGAGAAAACAAAGAATCCTACCTGGCTGCTAGGCCACCATTCACAGGAATAGCCAAGAAAACAGGGTACAGACCACCAAAAACAAGTCCAACCAATCCACCTCGTATTATGGTACAGGTTTCACAATGCAAATCACCTAGAAAACAAATTAGTTGTGGTGATGAAGATCATGATAGTCAAGCAAACATGAGTGCAAGGTCCACTTATATCAGCAGTTCTCAACCTGTGGGTCGCCAACCTGTAGGTCGAGACCCCCTTTGGGAGTTGAACAACCCTTTCACAGGGGTTGCCTAAAACCATCGGAAAACACATATATAATTACATACTGTTTTTGTGGTTAATCACTATGCTTTAATTATGTTCAATTTGTAACAATGAAAATACATCCTGCATATCAGATATTTACGATTCATAACTAGCAAAATTACAGTTATGAAGTAGCAACGAAAATAATTTTATGGTTGGGGGTCACCACAACATGAGGAACTGTATTAAAGGATCGCAGCATTAGGAAAGTTGAGAACCACTGTTTATATATGTGTTTTCCGATGGTCTTAGGCAACCCCTGTGAAAGGGTCGTTCGACCCCCAAAGGGGTCTCGACCCACAGGTTGAGAACCGCTGCCTTATATGTGTCACAAAGACTCAATTTTTCAGGCAGTGATAGAGCAAATGCAATTCTGTAAGGCATGTTAAAAGGTATAATTAAATGTACAGATAACCTAAAATAGCTAGGAGTAACTGATGACCATCCCAGGAAAAATTCTCTAATTTTTTCTGAACTTGACTGAATATAATTTCGGTTTGCGCTGCATTCAGCTTACTGCACATGTATTAAACTTTTAATCTATGGGAATTTTGTTTTACAATTTATATTTCATCTTACATTTTTACATTACATAGTATGACTTTATGAAATTCTTTATTCATTTCCAAATTAGTATAAAGTATATTAAAAATAGAAAGGTAAGTTGTAACTTAATGTTTTCCTCAGTCAGTCTGTTCAATTCATTAGGCAATAGGTTTCCCTGGATCATAAAAGTTCTTTCCACAGTGATTATAGGGATTCAAGCAAAACTCATATAATTTAAACAAATTGAGAGCAGCACTTAGCAGAAGAGAATTTAAATGAGTTGCTTCCCTCTCCACCACCACTTGTAGTAATACTTTATTTTAAATTATTAAAACCTTTTTCATGATTAGCTATACTCAAAGCACTTGGCACATATGGTAAACTGTCAAAAGGAAATCAAATCTCCATACATTTAATAATTCTGGTATGTACATGAAGTGCTTTGAGAGGTTTACAATTCCCATAAAAACATTTTTTCCCTTTAAGGAATTCTCTGTAAATTTTTTTTTAAAAAAAAACTAAGGCGGTCAGCATTTTTTAAAACTAAGTTTCAAAATATTCTTTATTCTAAGCACTGTATGAAAGATAAGTTAGATAAAGGAAAGTATTTAGAACTGCCATGTATGTGCACTTGTTTGGTAGTCCATACTAATATGAATTAATTGCCATTTTAATAATATAAAGTGCAAATAATATATACCAAATCAAACTATGGGGATAGTGAAATGGAATTTACCTGTATTCAATGGTAAACTTACAACACTTTTGTAAGATATGTCCGCTGTCAAAAATGGGATCACTGCCATTGGTAAACCAGCAGCTATACGAGCCTGTGTCACATTTAAGACGCGTCGAAAAAAACTGTTTGCTATTAGGCCACAGAGAGCAGCATTAAGTCCAATATATGTTGATCCATGTTCAAGTAGATTCCTGAATGGGTGAAGAAGAAAATAGTAATTTCTTTGGCTCTACTGTGTGTTAGGAAGCTCCCAACATTTCTGGCATATGTTAGAGAACCAACCAGGACTTAACAGGATACATTTAATCCCTTATAGCTCCATAAAACAAAAAACCTTTAAAATGTTTTACATACAGATTTTTATTCTAAAAGGCTTTTGAATTTGGTAACACTTAAGGGTACAATGATACATCTAGATTTTACTAAGTATACTTTGTGATTTTGCAAAAGATATTAGTATAGAAATTTCCCTCAACTATAGATAGCCAAGGAAGAGCTTGAAGAGTCTGATTTGGATGCCTCTACTCTAGGCTCCCAAAATACCCAGTACTTCTCCTTCTCTAGCACAGCACATTATAGGAGCTCTCCACTATTGTTCCCCACTGTAAACAAGTTGAGGACAATGGATACAAATTCCTCTTGGTTTCAATAGCACCTGACACACACAAGGCATTCAAAGAGGTGAAGATAATGTTTTAGTTCATCCCTAAAGCATTAGTTTTAGGATTCAGGGATTGGAAGAGGACTAACATGTAAGGGATAACCTTATAACAACCCATTGAAATAATAATAAATTGATGTTTTGAGATAAGTGGTTTTTAAGCTATGGTATGGGCTAATTTAAAACATGTTCTGAGCATTCTTTCAAACACCCATCTGCACACTGCATCGTGCACCCATCCCTTGACGCGAAGTCTCTTTTAATATATTTATTTTCTAATTCCATTATTCTTAGCCAAACTAGCCACACAATGATCTCTCTGACTTCTATGTTTATTTAATACTCTTAGCACAGCTTTCCTAGTTAATTAGTAATGGAGCTTCTAAAAGGTATTACTTTTCTTAACCTTTCACGCAATCATGTTACTATAGACAGACTTGCTGCTCAAGGCTAAAACATTTACCATCAACCTTCACTGTTTTCAGTTTTATAATTAGAGGATGAAAGACATGTAAACAAGGTAAAACATGTCTGAATAAATGGTAATAGCAATAGGAGAGAGGCAGTTCAGTAACTTAACATAAGATAATTTTTAAAGAGTGGTGAGAGCCTAGAGAAGAACCCACCAAACAAAAAACACGAATGTTTTTGTGGGAGTTAGAAATTTCAACACTTCCTCTAAAATATTGTTATTTTATCTTCATAACAATCCTGTTCAATATTTATCATCTCTATTTTAATCATAAGAGTGAATGCTCAGAAGTAAATAATTTGCCCACACACTTACATATTTTAATATATTACTGTTATGTAAACAAAACAAATACAACTGGAATCTGAATAGCAAAGTTTGTTATCTCCCAACCAGGTTTTAATTTACTATAGCTTTAAGTTACATTTTTTTAGTTAATCAGTAAGTACAAAATTATCTAGTAGACCCTTTACCAGTCAATTTTCCAAAAAAGTGCCTATAAAACTAGCCACTCATGACATTTTATAAGGTACATAAAATAACTAGACATATAAACTAAACACGTAAAATACAAGACCAAAGTTAACAAGTGGCAATAAATATATGGTGTGTAAAATTACTTTGTACTTCAAACCCATCCAATTTTTATCTCAACTGCCACCACCCTACCATCACCATGCACCAGGATTACTATGTGTTTTCCTTTTGGTCTTTTCTACCTTAAATCTGTTTTCCAAAAGGAAACTACTGTAGCTCATTCTGTTGTCTTCACAGACCAGTACATTTCCTACATAGCCTTTTTCTGTTTAATAACACCTTAAAGATCTTTTCTCTTGAGATTCCTTGTCTAGCTATGTGTGTTAATCGGCCTTCTCTATCATAGTCTGCATAATGATCATATGAATTAAAGACATTAAAAGCTATTTTAAAGTTTTGATATTGTAATGAGTCCACAAATGTACATTTGACTATACTCTAAGCCAAATAGGAAAAACGAGAATTAGATGTGTCCAAAGATATGAATTCTAGCCTTGACTTCAAGCTAAATGGTTAATTGTGCTGGGCCTTAGTTTTCTCAAGGCAAGAAAACGTTCAGTTTTCTTCTGCTATTCTATGTTATTTACACAGAAACCAAGTAAATTTGAGATAACATTCACCTAGTGAAAGATATTTTTTAAATTAAGATGGGATCCTACCTTTCTGCTTCTGGAAGTTGGTTAATTTTTCTGTTTATGATGTTCAAAATGTGTTCTTTCTGGAAAGTATCATCTGATTCATGATTTTCCATCTTGAGCCTTAAAAAAAATAAAAATATCATTTTTCAATAATGTATATCTAGAGAAAACAACAAAAGGGCTTATAAAAAGCCTTTTGAAGACCATTAATAATTTCAAGAGAATTAGATATATAGATTGAATTCATAATCTGCAGCACACCATACCTTCCCCCTTCCCAAAATGAATTCTAAGTGAAATAGAATCAGAACATGAAAAGCAGTGGATAGAGCTTCTAGGAATACAGACTATTTTTATAACCCTTAAAAAAATCTTAATTTGCAAATAGCACCAAAAAACACAAAATTAATACTAAACTAACATTAAGAACTTGTGTTCATCAATAGACACCATAAAGATAAGCTAGTGTGGGGGTAATGTTTGCAATATAATTGACAAGAGTAGTTAGTACCCAGGATGTGTAAAGTACAAAGCAACAAGAACAGAGCCAGCAACCCAACAGGAAAACTGAAAACAGGTTTGAACAAGCACGTTGCTGAAAGGAAAGCTAAAGAGTCAATGAACATAAAAATGTGCTTAACCTCATAATCAGGGAAATAGAAATTAAAACCAGAGTGATAAGAATATGTGGGCTTAGGTTAGCTAAACACACACACACACACCCTGACCATTTCAATTACTGGCAAGAATGTAGGGTAAGTAGTGTTGCAGGTGGAAGCATAAATTATATCCAGTTTGGGGAAAACCACTTTGGAAAGGAATTTGGTATTATTCAGTAAGTAGAAGACACACACCCAACAATTTCACTACAGCAGAAGTCAGCTAACTTTTCCTCTAAAGGGCCAAATAGTATTCTAGGTTTGCAGGTCACCTATAGATAGTCTTTGTTGGGTACTTTTTAAAAATATAAGAAATCATTCTTAGCTGGCTGGCTACAGACACTATCGGCCTCATCTGGCCCCCAGGCTATAGTGTTGATCCCTGCACTAGCTGGCGTGCGTGTCAGAGCAGGGCAACCGTGAATGATCCCTTTTCCCTGAATATTCGGCCATCGCTCCTCACCCAGGACGGCTCTGAGACAGGCAATGAGGCAAGTAGGGCCTCAGAAGATTTAGGCCAGGGCACCCTATGCACTGGCAGTCAGCCCGGGGTTAAATTCAAGTGCAGGTTTTTGTTTTGTTTTGTTTTCCTCCTGGTTTGCTTTAAACATAAGGTCTTTTCTTCTAAGGTGGAAAACGAGACGGCAGGCGCCGCAGGGCCGACTCCTCTCCTCCCCTTCCGCCGCAGTCCCGGGATCTCATTCCCGCTGTGCTTCTGATCCCCAGGCACCTCCTGCACTTCCCCCCCGGGACGCAGTACCTGGTGCTCTCCCTGCAGCCCTCGGCGCTGGCTCCGGCCGGCCTCGGCCCTAAGGCTCACCGCAACCTTCACCCTGCTCGCGCGGGCGCAGCCATCTTTGGCCGACACGTGACTCGGAGGGGGCGGGACCTCGGCCGCTGATTGGGCCCCGGGACGCCGGCCGCACGCTTAGCGACTTCCTGCCCAGCGCGGGCTCCCAGCGAGCGAGGTGCCGGGCGTGTGAGCGGTGAGACTCCGACCAGCGTGGGGAGTATTTGTCCACCTTCCCCTGCCTCCGAGGGCGGAGCCTGTAGACCGGGAAGGTCCCAGAGGAAAGTCGAGTGGCCCTAAACCCGCCCTTTTCACTGGTCGCCTATCCTGGGCACGTTACTTAACTTCCAGACCCATAGACCGTATCTCCTGATGTGGACATGGGGTATAAGAAAACAGCACAGCCCTTGGCATACGGTGGATGCTAGGTTCAAAAGGTATTAAAAAGGAGCTGAGCCCTAGCTGGTTTGGCTCAGTGGGTAGAGCGTCGGCCTGCGGATTGAAGGGTCCCGGGTTCAATCCCGGCTAAGGGCACATGCCCAGGTTGCGGGCTTGATCCCCAGTGCGGGGCATGCGGGATGCAGCTGATCAGTGATTCTCTCTCCTCGTTGATGTTTTTCTCTCCCGCTCCCTTCCTCTCTGAAATAATAATAATAGTAAAAAGGAGCTGAGATTTTTTTGCACCCTCGATTTTCTTTGCCCTTGGAGCTCCCTGTGCCACGTTGCAGTCTGGTTGTCTGTCCCACCTCAAGATAATCAGCACCTCCAGAGAAGGAGCTTGTTTTCTGAGGATTCCCTGGTGCCCTTCCTCGCACTGCTGATAAAAGCAGGGGTGGGTGAATGTGGCTAAGAAAAAACCGGAGAGGAGGGAGCCCGGGGGCTCCACTCGTCAGGACAATTGAGAATGAAAGTCTTGGGCCAAGCCTCTGCATAGTCCCAGTTCTCATCCTGGCAGCCTCTTTCTCATCTATAAAACAGGGGAAATAACATTTTCTCTGATTACTTTGTGAATACGTGAGCGTTCAGTGAAAGTGCTTACCAGGGTTGCTTTGAAAATAATTGAGCTCTAGCAAAGGAGAAAGTGGTATTCCAGATAAAGAACAACTTCATAAGGCAAGGGGAGCAGGGTGAGAAGAATCCCCAAAACTCCGTGGCGAAGAAGGATTTATCAGATGTCAAATAATCTATAGTCAATGAATCAGAAAATAAAAGCATCTTTATTTTTTAATATATTTTTTATTGATTTCAGAGAGGGAGAGAGGTAAACATCAGTGATGAGAGAGAATCATTGATTGGCTGCTTCCTGCATGCCCCCTACTAGGGATGGAGTCCACAACCTGGGCATGCCCTGACAGGGAATCCAACTTAACCTCCTAGGTTAAGTTTATTCCTAATTACTCTATCCTTTTTAATGCTATAGTAAATGGGATTGTTTTCTTAATTTCCCTTTTGGGTTTGTCGTTGTTAGTGCAGTGAAACACAATTTTTGTGTGTTGATTTTGTATTCTGCAATTTTGATGAAATTGTTTTTAGGTGTAAGTTTTTTTTCTGGAATTTTTTTTTTCTATATATAAGATGATGTGATTTGTGAGCAGGGATAATTTTACTTTTTTTTTTTCCAATTTCTTGTCTGATAACTTTTTCTAGAATTTTCAGTGCCGTGTAGAATAGTATTGGCAAGAGTGGTTATTGCCTTGTTCATCATAGAGGATAAGCTTTCAGTCTTCCACCATTGAGTACAGTATTAGCTGTGGGCTTTTCATGAGGCTTATATTCTGTGGTGTAGTTTCTTTTTATTCCTAGTTTGTTGAGTATCTATTATCATAAAACAGCATTGAGTTTTTCTGCATTGATTGCCATACTCATGCTGTCCTTGATTATGTTAATGTGGTGTATGACATTGATTATTTTTGCATATTGAATTATTCTTGCATTCCAAGTATAAATCCCACTTGGTCATGGTGTGTGATCCTCTTAATGTGCTGAATTCAGTTTTCAGTTTGTGCATGGGTAGGGTCCCTTGGGGTGGCCTTCGGGGATCGGGCCAAAACCCACAGTCCAAGGCCACCACCTGCAGCTCCAATCTGCCACTTCCGCTCATCCGGGCCCCACTGCGCCTGCCGCAGGCTCATGCCCAATCAGTCCCAATCAGGAGAGGCTCATGCCGCTAGGAGTGGCCTGTGGGATCTGGCCAAAACTGGCTCTCCGACATCTCCCTCAGAGGTCCTGGATTGTGAGAGGGCGCAGGCCAGGCAAGGGACCCCACTGGTGCACGATCAGGGACTCAGGGACTCGGACTCAGTAGGTTGGCCATCCTGGGAGGGACCACAGGAAGGCTCCAGGGCGAGTCCGGCCCATCTTGCTCAGTCCCTATTCACAGGACCCCAGCAGCAAGCTAACCTACCAGTCGGAGCGTCTGCCCCCTGGTGGTCAGTGCACATCATAGCGAGTGGTTGATCAGCCTTAGCATATCATTAGCATATATGCTTTGATTGGTTGAACGGTCAACTGGTCACCAGACAACTGGACACTTAGCATATTAGGCTTTAATTATATAGGATTAATCAAGAACATTAATATTTCTTTTATGTCTTTATTTGGTTTTGGTATCAGTAATGTTGGCCTCATAGGATTGTGTTCCCTCCTCAATTTTTTTTCCCCTCTTCAATTCCTAAGAAGAGTTTAGAGAGAATGGGTGTTAATTCTTCTGGTCCTGGGCTTTTCTTTGTTGGGAGTGTTTTAATTACTGCTTCAGTCTCCTTGCTAATTATATGTCTGTTCAAATTTATTTCTTCATGATTCAGTCTCGGTGGGTTACATGTTTCTAGGAATTGGCTCATTTCTTCCAGGTTATCTAGTTTGTTGGCATATAATTGTTCATAGAGTCTCTTATATTCCTTTTTATTTCTGTGACATCAGTTGTAAACTCCCTGCTTTCAGTTCTCGTTTTATTTATTTGAGTCTTCCTTCTTATTTAGTCTAGCTAAAGGTTTGTCAAATCTGCTTAAAAAAAAAAAAACAACTGAGAGTTCTATTTATTTTTTATATTATTTTCTATTTCAGTCATTTCTGCTCTAATCTTTATTATGTCTTTCTGTCTGCTAGCTTAGGGTTTAGTTTGTTCTTTAGTTCCTTGAGGTGTAGGTTTAGATTTTTTAGTTGTGATCCTTCTTTTTTAATGTGTTTACTGCTACAGACTTCTTAGTACTGCTTTCATAAGTTTTGATGTTGTACTTTTATTTTTGTTTGTTTCCAGATATTTTCTAAGTTCCTTTAGATTTTTTTGACCTATTGGTTGTTTAAGAATGCATTGTTTCCTTGACATTGGTCTTAACAATGATTTTTTTAGATCTGACACAAAAAGCCAAGGCAACAAAAGCAAAAATAAACAAGTGGGACTACATCTAACTGAAAAGTTCTTCCAGGGAGATACCGTGACTTGGCGCAGGCTGGAGGAAGTGGGTAAGGGGTGTCCGCAGGCTTCCCTGCTCTCTGGGACAGATTGCAGCTAGCCCCTAGATCAGCCGTGGGCAAACTACAGCCCGCGGGCCGGATCCGGCCTGTTTGAAATGAATAAAACTAAAAAAAAAAAAGACCGTACCCTTTTATGTAATGATGTTTACTTTGAATTTATATTAGTTCACACAAACATTCCATCTATGCTTTTGTTCCGGCCCTCAGGTCCAGTTTGAGAACCCATTGTGGCCCTTGAGTCAAAAAGTTTGCCCACCCCTGCCCTAGATGTTTGCTATGTTAGAAACCTGATCAGGCAGTGTCTTTTAAAATATGTGAATAGGTCCCTTTTAGAGAAATATTAGGAAATTTTTTTTTTTTCCTGCTCCCTCTTTGCTGAGCCCTGGAGATATGGCTGGGTTAAGAACTGGTTCTTGCCTGGCTGTGGTGGCTCAATGGTTGAGCATATGAACCAGGAGTCCATGGTTCGATTCAGTTTGATTCCCGGTCAGGGCACATGCCTGGGCCTTGTTTGTGAGCTTGAACCCCACTGGGAGATGCGGGGGTGCAGGAGGCAGTCAGTCAATGATTCTCTGTCATCATTGATGTTTCTTTCTCTCTCTCTCCCTCTCCTTTCCTCTCTGGAAAAATAAATAAATACATAAACTAGTTCTTTGTTTGCTATGGTCCTGTGGGGCTCGTGAATTGAAGCTCATTGGTTACCAGAGCCAGATCTGGGGACATGTCCCTTGGGTGTCAGCACAAAAGCTGTTGTACAGATGTGTGTATTAGCTCCTTCCAGGGAGATACTGGTGACTTGGAGTGGCCTCAGGAGAGAAGGTAGAAAGGTGTCTGCCAGCTTCCTTAGTCTCCAGGAAGACTTGCAGTTGGCTCATAGACGTGTTAAATTAGAATTCTGACCTCAGGCAGTATCCTTTAAACTGGCCAAAACTGGGAGATGGACATTTTTGCCTGCTCCCTCTGCACTGGGGAGATACCTGCAGGGAATGTTTCTGCCTGTTAACAACTGCTTTTTTGTTTGCTGTGGTCTTGTGAGTCTCATGGACAGCAAAACTGTTGGCTTTCAGAGCTAGGACCGCTCATGCTCTCACGCCCTTGGTGTCTGTGTCCATTGGTTACGCTTATAGGCATACATACAAGTCCTTTGGTCGATCTCTCCCCTGTTATCCCCACCCTTCCTACCTTCCCTCTGAGGTTTGAGCATCTGGTTGATGCTTCTCTGTCTCTGGATGTTTTTGTTCATCAGTTTATGTTGTTCATTATATTCCACAAATGAGTGAGATCTTTTTTACCAGTTTCATTTTGAAGTTTATATTGCTGTTTCTTCAAGTTCACTAATCTTTTCTTTACCATGCCTAATCTTGGGGTGACTTTAGGGGGGCTTTGTTACTTTAGTGAACCTGGTAGGGGGACTACTAAGATTCAATTATTTATATTTATTAATGTTAGTGTGACTGTCTTTGTAGGGATAGGATGATAAAAGTAGAAAAATATGGGTTATATATCTTTGGAGAAATGTTTTTTTAAAAATATGTTTTTATTGGTTACAGAGAGAGGACTGGAGGAGGAGGAGGTATAGAAACATCAATATGAGAGAGAATCATTGATCAGCTGCCTCCTGCACACCCCCTACTGGGGACCAAGCCTGTAACCCAGGCTTGTGCCCTGACAGGGAATGGAATCGTGACCTCCTGGTTCATAGGTCGGCACTCAACCACTGAGCAACATCAGATGGACACCTTAGGAAGGTGAGTGAACAAATTCTATTAAGTTCAGCCACATCTGTAGAAAGACATTTTTTCATTATATTACTGCTTAAACTTGGAAATTCAAATACTGGATAGTTTACAAAAGACAATACAGTTGTATAAAAGCTGCGAGAAAAATCAATATAATACACTGCAAGCTATGCAGGGTGATGGAATACGATGCAAAAGCAGGGAAAATCATATGGTTAACACACTTGGAGGAAACGGGGGAAAAGACAAAAGAGAAAGGAAGTTCTCATAGCAGGGACAACATCTTAGTCATTGTTATACACCCGTTAGGGAAAATAGACGACGTAAACACATTTATTGAGCACCTCCTATATACCAGGTATGGTTCCATATCCTTTAGTTTTTATAACCTCACTTCAAAGCAGTTATTAGTATGTTTTCAGAGGAAACACAGTCAGAAAGTTTAGGTAGCTTGCCCAATGTGTGGTATACAATGTGTTTCATACATCAGTTGTTGAATCAATATCATCTGAATAAATGAGTACATATTTATTCAAATGAAATATATCTTGTGAATTTTCTTTGTTGTGCTTCTTTATAATGTTTCTAGGAAAATGCTAAACTCATAACTACAGGCTATGTATGCAGTAATAACAACAGTGACAATAATGGCTGCAACACAGAGACTTCTTGTTTTATTTATGTATATGAACTAATTTAATCATGACTTAATAGAAGCTTTATTCCTTATTTTACAGATGAGGGAACTGAGATGTAGAGGTGAAATAGCTTGTTGTTAGTGAAGCTAGGATTTGAACCAGGCTGTATCTAACACCTCTTGCTGCTTTTCTTCATTGTGGTTCACTCAGATGAAGGTTTCCTTAATTTCTTCTTTCAGACCTATTACAACCACTTTGGCAAGAATTCCCAGCTTTTTCTATTGTAGAAAAGGCAAATTGAAATCATGGAGTGAAATACAAGTCTCTTCTGCTTTCATATGGCAGGGGAGATGAACATAAGTCAACCTTGCTTTTATGTCCCATGCTGGAAGCTACCCATTGTCTATACCAGAGGTCCTCAAACTTTTTAAACAGGGGCCAGTTCACTGTCCCTCAGACATTCCACACATACGCACTGCGGGCCCGGGACTAGTCGGCTGCTAAGCAGGACAGGCAGCGTCGGCAAAAACACCCGGTGGGCAGGATAAATGTTTTTGGCGGGCCGCAGTTTGAGGACACCTGGCCTACACTGTCAGGAAAGTGCAAACAAGGAACCCAGAAGGCTGACTGACCTTGAGCTTTGGCAAGGGCTAAAAGCTATGCACCGATTGTTCTGTCGAGACAATGGTGGCTCAAGCAATTTCCTGACCTAATAGTCTCAAAGTAAATCTTTACTAATATTTACTGACCTTTAAGATAGTCTGTCTGCTACCAGAATTGCCTGCCTGAATAAGGGCAATATGTGTATCTAAAATGGAATAAAAAGCTGGCAGGGCCTGGGCACCAGTGAAGCCTTTCCTCTTGAGAAAGACTCTCCGCCTGGCCCCCTGTAATTTCCAAATTCATATTTCTTGTCTAGTCTCTTCATTTGTGCGTGGCCCGTCTCTAGGTCCCGAACCCAAGCCATGCAGGACGCGGCTTTCACAGTCCCAGGTTACTACGTAAGCATATGAGGAAAGAAAACAATTTATAGAGCTACTATTCAAATGGTCAAAAGACGTGAACAGAAAATTCGCAAAAGAAAACCAAGATGCCAATATCTTTATTTAAATATCAACTTTCGCTAGACTCATTTTTGTTTTTATCTTTTTACCTCGAGATTGGGAAACTTTAAAAAAGATTGATGTGGCTGAAACTGGAGAAGGGCAATAAGGATGTGAGGAGATGAAGGACAGTGAAAAGTTAGTGGGACTGATGGATTATAGGTTCCTGTGAGGCTGAAATAATGCTGGAGTTGTGGCCTGAGAATGAAATGAACTCGAAGGACAGGAGCTAGTGATAAAATTGGATTTTAAAATTGAGAATGTGAAGAATTTGAATTTATTGATAATGACAAGGTCTAGAGCAACATAGTACAAATGAAAATATAATGTGAGTTATGTATGTAATTTGAAATTTCCTAGTAGGCACATTAAAAAAAACAAGTAAAATTAATTTTATTTAACCCAATATTACTAAGAGTAACCTTTCAACATGTAATCAATAAATTATTTATGAGATAGTTTATATTTTTTTACATAGTAAATCTTTAAAATTTGATGTGCATTTTACACATTTCAATTTAGATTATTCACACTTCAAATACTGACTAGTGGGCTACTGACTATTATTTCAGACAGGTCTAAAGTATGACCATGGAAATAAGTGGTATAGAGACCAGGGTGCTGGAAGGATCACCTGTGTGAATACTGGAATCATCAAGAATGTACTGCCACTGAAAAGAATGTGTTGGTATGTGTAATGAGTTAGAAAGATCTCCAAGACATATGGTTAAGTGAAAATTTTCAGCATAATATGTATGGATAATAAAATTTATTTTAAAAATATGTAACAAAAGAAAACTGCAAGAGGCATGCTAACTTGATAGTGGTTACCCTGAGAATAGAGTAGAAATAGGATGAAGTGGGAGAGCAGGAGGACTTTTCAAGTCTTGTTCTATATAGCAAATATATATACAGGGTGGGTTTATATATATATAAATATATGTAAATATATACAAATATATATACAAAAGTAGGTTTATAGTTGCTCATATGGAAAATAATGCAATTAATAAATAATAATACAAGTATTCTCTGTGTTCACATACTCACAACTGTAAACCCACTTTTGCCCCACTTTGTATATATATTTTTGGATCATTTGAGTATCTCACAATGAGAAAGTATTCATGTAGTCATATACTAATTTTTTAAGAGTTAAAATATGAATACTATTGATCTAGTTATCTATTTGACTTGATTTCCCCCTGCGCCTCCTTCGTCCCACCCCCAATTACTTGCCCTTTCCTTAGAGTTTCAAGTATCATAAATTATTCTGAGAATATGAAGCTAGATGGCTAGTCTTTGTTTTTTCATTAGCAAAAGAGTACACGTATTTTACTTTGTTATATATGATGCCATAATTACCTTACTAAGACTTCCATTTCTGCTTTGGGTTGCTTGAAGCTTCAGATGATCAAATCTTTAATCTCACTATGAATATGGTTAAGACAAGGAGAATGGCTGTGGGGTTCCATTCTGTATCTTTTCTTTTCATCAGACAGTGTTTATTCCTAAAGTAAGATAAATGTGTAGCTCAGGAATGCTCTAGCAGACTTAAAGATGCATGCTTTGATTTCTTCCTTCAGATTTTAAACTTGTTGAGGGTAGGGACTACCCCTGGTGCCTGTATAAATACATAGCCAGTAGGCATTCAATATATGTTCTTTAAATAGCACAGTGAAAAGAATGTGTTAACTATAAGAAGCTAGCTGAATCAGAGTTTAGAGTGAAGGAATGGGCTGTATGCTATTTCTGTATTTTGCTTTCTTATGAACTTTCAACTCTTAAAAATGTAGGTCAAATGTCACTTCTTCTCTATAGTTTTCCCTTCTGCCCAAATAGTTAAGATCCACATCCTCAATGTGCCCATAGAATTACGTGTATACCTCTCAAACTCTCTCATGCTGTGTGTTCATATGTTTAATTTATCTTCTAGTTGTGAGTTCCTTCTGGATAAGGACCATTTCTTACTACATGTAACACAGTGCCTGAGAGGCAGTTGTTGCTCAAGAAATGTTTGATGAGTGACAGTATATAAATGTACAGATCAGAACTTGAAGCCTAAACCCATTTCCACATACAATGAGGAAGAAAGAAAAAACTTACATTTATTTATTGAGTTTCTGAATATTTATTGAGAACCTGCTATACACTAGGCAAAAGAACAGAAACTAATTGTCCAGAGTTACTTTGAACTCTTTCAGCAATACCTGAGTCCTCACCATAAAAAAAATCCATTCACTATTTGGTTAATCTTCATGTACAGTTTTCTCTAACGTACTCTGAAATACTGCATAAAGTTGTATACCCTGGTATATTCCAAAGACTATCTGAAAGGCTAGAGGAATCAGCATTCCTTTTATATCTGTTTGACAAAGCATCAGCCAGTGATGTAAAACCCTTCCTTTTGGTGGCAGTGGAACAGTATGGTACCTAAAAAGGAAAAATAGGTAAGTACTTCTGGATGCATATTCTATGAAAAATTTGATTTTTCCTACACTGATAATTTCTATTCTAGGTCTTTCATGTAGCTAGCAAAAAAGGTTAAAAGTTAGCTATCTAAAATGATTAAAATGTGGCAGCTAAAGAATAAGGAGACTTTACTAATATATATATATTTTTTAAACAAGTAAGGAAGAGAAGGAATAGACAGACTTACTTTACTGCCAGACGTCCATTTTTAGAAAAAGCCAAACCAGTTGGATATAAAACACCGCATACTGTGCCAACCAGTGAACTTCTCAGAGCACATTCTTCCATGCTTATATTATCTGGAAAACAAAAGTAAATTTGATCTCCCTTTAAAACTCAGGATAAACATTAAGAAAGTCGTGTGCCCTCGAAGAGTAGTTATCTGCACTGTCCTCAACCACAGTGAAATAGTAGGAATAATATTAGAAATTCAGTCTATGGCATACGACTGACTAAATCAGCCGTGGGCAAACTACGGCCCGCAGGCTGGATCCGGCCCGTTTGAAATGAATAAAACTAAAAAAAAAAAAAAAAAAGACCGTACCCTTTATGTAATGATGTTTACTTTGAATTTATATTAGTTCACACAAACACTCCATCCATGCTTTTGTTCCGGCCCTCCGGTCCAGTTTAAGAACCCATTGTGGCCCTCGAGTCAAAAAGTATGCCCACCCCTGGACTAAATGCACCATGTCTTAAAAGAGCTTTTATTACACTTTACATTAGGAAAGTTATCTCTTAGATACATGGTTGCTGCAGAAACAACTTTGTATTAAAGAGTTAAACTAGCTCACCAGACCTCTGGATTCTAGGTTAATACATTTTTATTGTCTAGGTGTCAGGCATATGCTAAGTGCTAGGGGTACAGTGTTGCATAAAAGAGACTCAATATCTAACCTTCAGGCTAGTCAATCAGGAAAGAAAGACATTTGAAAAATATTTATAAATAATTTTAAGGGTGCACAATGCTTTGAAGGTAAAATGTATAGAGAATGTATCTAAAAACCTTTAGGGAATCAGAGAAGGTTTCCCTGGGGAAGAGAGATTTAAGCAGGGATCTAATGAACAGGGGTGAGAGGTTCCATCAATTACTAGATGTGAAACTTAAGGTAATGGGAGGAGGCAGGAAATAACATTAGAAGCCCATAATATACCAGATACTATGTTAGGCATTTAACATACACAATCTTAATTCTCACAATCCTGTGAGGTAAGTATGATTAGTCCTAATTCATAGATAAGACTCAATTGAGTCTCAGATTAAGTGACTTGCCCAATGTCACAAAATTCAAGGAGTTAGGATCTGAAATTGTGTGTAATCTGCCAAAGCCTGCTTTTTTCTCAGTATATTATGCTGCTTCTTAGATTTGAACATGTCTCTGTTTTTGCTGCTTATCTGTAAGAAAGACTTGCCCTGTCTGATTAGGAGGTCTGTTGTGGGACCTCCTGAAATAGGACAATATATGTGAAGGTACTTTGTAAGTGGTAAAGCAATACACAAATGTAAGGGATTATTATTAGCAGTAGCAACAGTATATGTTAATGAGTAATTTTACTGAGACATGAACACATTATACTTTAATGAATTTAAATTTACCTGAATACAAAGCATCTGTAACAAGGAGCTTATACGTAACTAAGGTAGACAAAAATGGAAGTGTAGTCAATGATGCATATGTCTTCAAAGCACCATGTTTAACCTTGAAGCAGTGTCTGAAAAGGAAGTTTGCCAATATTCCAGAGAAACCAGCTGCTGTTCCAACGAGCAGTGTCCCACGTATATTTAAAGTACTAATGGAAAAACAATAATCAAGGTTAACATATTTTCCTAATGGAAATATCTTTTCTCGGGTAGTCATTTGTTATTACATATTTACTCAGCATCAAGTATTTCTGAACACTTACTATATGAAACATATTTTCTACATGCTGAGGACAGGGCAGTGAATAAAGAAAAAAATCCTACTCCTCATGGAACTTTCATTCTAATCAGAGGATATAATTCTCTTTCTGAGAATATTTACAGTGGTTCTAAAATGGAGCTCTTTTAAAGAGAATATATTTTGGCCACAAAGAAATATGAATATGTTCCGATATAGCCAAATTTTATATGTAAATCCAAGAATACTGCTCTTAAGGTCATTTGAATAAAAAAGTTGTTTATATTTGGTTAGGCCTTCTAGAAAATAATTAGTTTTTAATTAGTCCAGATATATTTAAAGTAATTTGTCAAGGATTTCCAAAACTTCATCCAATGAGATTTGCTAGATCTAGTTTTACTTATTCTGATCCATACCCCAATCCAGAAATGTATAAGGTATATGGTCAACATCTTTGATTTTATTTTGGAGCGCTAAAAATCTAAAAGTCAAAATGGTAATGTGAAACTATATATACATCATAGAATCTATATTCCTGTTCGTTGAACTCAGCACTGTGGTTAAGGTAATCAATTCTAAACTGAATTTAATTACAACTGATCATCAATGAAATATAAGTAGCCTCCAAATGGTATTCTCCTAATTACTTAAAAAAAAAGTTTTTAAATCCTCATTTGAGGATATGTGTTGTTTTTTTTAAAATTGATTTTAAAGAGAGAGGAAGGGGGAAACAGAAACATCAATCGATTGCCTCCTGTACGTGCCCAACCAGGGATCAAACCTGCAACCTAGGTATGTGTTCTGACTGGAAATCGAACCCACAATCTTTTGGTGTACAGGACGACTCTCCAACCGAGCCACACTGGCCAGGCTTTCCTAATTACTTTTAATTTTTAAATGTTTATTGCACAAATAACATTTCAATAACAATTCTGGCCATTTTTTAAGAAGCAAAAGTAATTACCCACAGTTCCAATATTCTAACAGACCACTATTTTCATCTACCCATGTTTTTCTCCATTTAAAAAAAAAATAAGTTTTCTTCATAACCAACTCAATAAAGTTAAGAGAATCTTAGATATTCAGAAACAACAGAAATAGAGATCTGCAGAAAAAAGTAATTGATTTTCAGTCTGCGTGTGTCTCTTACTTTTCTTTTCTAAGATACTCAATTTTTTTTTCTATGATTTCAATGACCATCGGTCCGAGTTCTTTATCTCCTAGAGAGGGGCTGAGTTGACCACGTGTGTATGTTGCCATCTTGATGTCCTGGAAAACATAAAATTGGAGAACCATAATAGCTAATGATATTAATATTAAACCTTATAAATTCTACAGATTCCAATTAAAAAACATTTAGACTCTAGTAATGTGTCAAGTAGTATCATCTGCTTTTACCTACTTCGTTAATGATTCAGTCAACATTTAGTGAACTCTGACTCTCTGCTAGACAGTGGCTTTTTTGATTCACACAATAATTTTGAAAAGTTGGTAGGACAATAATCATCTCCAATTTTACAGATGAGAAAAATAAGGTTGAGAAAGGTTGACTTGCTTCAGGACATAGTATAGAAGGATAACTTACTGAAATACTTTTGTTTTCCTTATAGTTTTCCCAAAGGTAGCCAGGCCCTTTGCAGTTCTCCTTGCTCTAGCTTTATCAGAGCTGGAAGAAAACAGTAGCTACTTCTTGACAACAATCTCTATCCTATGAAAGAGATTGAAAACCTGCGCTCATTGAGCTTACGTTGAGTTTCCTGAAGAGATGGGAGAGAGCAGGATTGCCTTGGAGAACAGTGAGAGAGAACTCCAGAAAGAGGGACAGTGTTCCAGGCTAGGAAGAGACAGTGGATCACGGCTCCAGATGATATAAGTAACATGTCCGGCTTCTTAGTAGTACCCAGGGCGAAGCAGGGACTTGACTGGAAACTGCTGTGTGGCACACCAGTGAGCAGGACCCATGGCACTGGGCTCTAGGCTGGAAGGTTCCTGTGTCTCAAGTGTGATGTATGAAGAGATGGCTGTCAATGTCAAGGGACCACGAGGATTTGGCCAATAGCATCTTAACAGAAACCAGTGGGAAAACAAAATAAAACAAAAAACTAGATCCTCAGAAAGGTTCTTTTCTGAATGTTGTGTTCTTTGTAAGACTCTCAGATCTCCATGAAAATTTTAAATAAAAACATTTATTAAATCTTTTTGTCACACAAGCATTGAGACTCCAGGTTAGCCAATGAATAGATATTAAAAATCCATGGCCCTTCACAATTTATACCAACCTCCACATTAGCAACATTAAACTTAGTCAAAGGCACAGACTAAATCTCGTATTTCAGGAGTACAGGGCAAGAGAATTAGAGTGGATTGAGTATAATAACACAGGATACTTAATAAGTCAGTGATTCTCAACATTTAGTGTGCACAAGAATCACATTGGAAATTTATTCCAAATGCAGTCTTTTGAGCTTCCTGAGATATGAGGATTCAGTGGGAGTAGAGTGAAACCTAGAAATCTTCATTTTAGTAGCACCAGTGATTCTTTTCTGTTGTAGTTAATCCTTACCTGAGGATATTATTCCATTGACTTTTAGAGAGAGTGGAAGGGAGGGGGAGAGACAGAGAGAAACACTGATGTGAGAGAGACACATCGATTGGTTGCCTCCCACAGACACCCCAACCAGGGCTGGGGGTGTAGCCTGAAACTGAGGTGCATGCCCTTGACCAGAATCGAACCTGGGACCTTTCAGTCGATGGGCCAAACCAGCTAGGGCCCAGTTATTCTTTTTATGTTGGTAGTCGATGGACACATGTTGAACATCACTGTAATATTCACTTACTGAATAAGTGATATGCAGCAGTACTAAGCCTAACTAATGGAAGGCCAGGCCAATTCATCTCCGGTATCAGCATCCTGAAGATATGGGTTCCTTTGACCTTTGGTGTATGGTATTACACAATGATAATGGGCCAGTTTCCTTCCCTGCATCATTACAGACTGTAGTCAGGTAGTTCTATTTTCTTTTTAAAAATATCTGGGGAGGACAGAGAAAAAATTACAAATTACAATTTCTCAGGGACTAGACTTAATCTTTTGCCTCCCTCTGACATCTAAATGGGAAATGGAAGAGAAGAGATAGTAATATCTGAGGGAGGTCTGTAATGTTCTAGGAAGGCAGATGTCAGTAACATGATAATCAGGAACCTTGGATAAATTTATGTTTTGCTATCATCTAACTCACTGAAATTCCTTACTCCCCACAAAGAAAACTTTCAGGCAATGACGTGTATCATCCTTCTACCTTGTCTACATTCTTAGTATGTAGGGAACACAGGCACCCAGGATTATAATCCTAAAATACTCAAACAGTTCAGCAAATATTTGAGTGCCTGCATAGTCTTTGGAAGGCACTGCTATTAAAGCAAAAACAGATGGGTAACTTTCTGATAGACTTTTTTTAAAAATATATTTTATTGATTTTTTTACAGAGAGGAAGGGAGAGGGATAGAGAGTTGGAAACATCGATGAGAGAGAAACATCGATCAGCTGCCTCCTGCACACCTCCCACTGGGGATGTGCCCGCAACCAAGGTACATGCCCTTGACCGGAATCGAACCCGGGACCCTTCAGTCCGCAGGCCGATGATCTATCCACTGAGCCGGTCAGGGCTTTCTGATAGACTTTTAACAAGTACTGAAATGTAACGATTTTGCTATAACCAACATTTTATATCAAAATTAGTCCAAGGCCACTCAATATACTAGAAAGTGTGAATTTATGACGGTTTATAGTTTGTAAAGTATTTTATGGTTATGTAATGCTTTTATAGTACTATGTCACCTGACCTTCAGTTTTATACCACATTCATTCCTCATTTGATAGCCCCTGAGATAATCAAGATGTAGTCATGTCCTCAGGAATCCACAACCCAGAGGGAGGTCAGGACAAACAGGCAGGTAATTTAAACAGAATGAATCCTATATAATAAAAGGCTAATATGCAAATTGACCAAAGGGCAGAACGACCAGTCGCTATGACACACACTGATCACCAGGGGGCAAATGCTCAACTCAGGAGCTGCCTTCTGGTGGTCAGTGCGCTCCCACAGGGAGAACGCCGCTCAGCCAGAAGCCGGGCTCATGGCTGGCGAGCGCAGCAGCGGTGGCGGGAGCCTCTCTCACCTCCAAGGCAGTGCTAAGGATGTCCAACTTAGGCCCACTCCCTGTCAGCTGGATATCCCCCAAGGGCTCCCAGACTGCAAGAGGGTGCAGGCCGGGCTGAGGGGGGCCCCCCCCCCCCAGTGCACAAATTTCGTGCACCAGGCCTCTAGTGCAGCAGTTTTCAACCTGTGGGTCGTGACCCCTTTGGCGGTCAAATGACCCTTTCAAAGGGGTTGCCTAAGACCATCCTGCATATCAGATATTTACAATTCATAACAGTAGCAACATTACAGTTATGAAGTAGCAATGAAAATAATTTTATGGTTGGGTCACAACATGAGGAACTGTATTTAAAGGGCCAGAAGGTTGAGAACCACTGCTCTAGTGTGTCATGAAGACAAAACAAAAAACATAAGAAAGGCCAAATTTAACCTAGCTTGGAAAGTGTAAAGAAGGTTTTCCATAGTAAGTGACATTTAAACAAATACTGAGCCCCAGTAGGGTAGCTCCATTGGTTAGAGTGTGGTCCCATAGCCAAGGTTATGGTTCAATCCTGGTCAGGACACTTACAAAAATCAACCAATGAATGCATAAATAAGTGGAACAAATCCACGTTTCTCTCTCTCTCTCACCCCCAAACTCTCTCTAAAATTGTGGTAGGTGGTTAGACAGACATGAGCAGAGCAAGGATGATGGGCCAGATACAGAAGGTCACTAGGGTGGAAAGCCTTAGGTGGTAGCAAGGGACAATCAACTGTAGGGTGGGACCTCGCCCCAGGGTGACTTTTCTTCCCCTGGCACAGTGGTCGGCAAACTCATTAGTCAACAGAGCCAAATATCAATAGTACAACGACTGAAATTTCTTTTGAGAGCCCAATTTTTTAAACTTAAACTATATAGGTAGGTACATTGTTATTAACTTAATTAGGGTACTCCTAAGGCTTAGGAAGAGCCACGCTCAAGGGGCCAAAGAGCCGCATGTGGCTCGCGAGCCGCAGTTTGCAGACCACAGCCCTAGCATGTTGGTCACATGGTTTGGACCCCTGACCTTTCCTCCCTATAGATAACATCTATGCTTGTTGTATTTCAGCTCCAGGCCCAGATCAGCTACAAAACCAGCCCAGGCTGAAGCTGGGACCAGCTGCATGGAAAGACCCCCTATCCTGGTGCCGCCAATCGATCAGTGGAGTCCACAACCCTGAGAGGACACACCGGGAAAGCCGCTGACTCTCCTATTGAGATCTTCTCCCGGGACCGGACCGCCCCTCAACTCCACCCTTCAAACCCCAGGGACAGGACCCGGCTGCTCTCCCTGCAGGAGCTGCAGAGCCTTTCCCTTCCCTTCAGCTTCCTCACGCCCACGCTGCAAGGGCCCTTCCTTTCCCTCCATAACTTGTTTCCTAAGCCCATTTCTCCCAGGAATTGATTCCCCTACCTCTGTGATTTGCCAAATACATGTTCTTACAGTTTGGGTCTTGCCCTGAATTCTTTCCTAGCCAGAACCCAAGTCCCGAGGTTGTTGCACCCTGGTTTTGGTCTAACACCCAGTGCCGCTGCCTATAACAAAATCGATCAAAACAATACAGATGTAAGAGGAGGACTTGGCAGGGGCTGGGGTGGGAGGAAGAGGTGCTGGGAGTTCTTCCAAGTTGAAGGCGAGGCCCGCGCAAAGGCTCAGGGGCAAGAGAAAACAAGCGGCAAGCGGTCAAGACTAGACTTGAGGTCTCCTACTTTCTCTCCGCCTCTTCCCAGGGCAACTGGAACATCACTGAAAGACCCGTGCCCTTGGGAGCTGTTCTCTTCAGATTTTCAAACCCTTTGTACTTGCATCATTTCAGAAGGGCCCGCCAACACAGTGAGGCTGCAGAAACCATGGTCCCAACCACCCCGGGTCTGCGCCTACCTTGGGCATTTCCCCAGCTTCCACCGGCACCACACCTTTCCCTCGCGGGTCAGCCCCCGCCTCGCGCCCGGGCGCCGCCATCTTGGAGCTCACGTGACCGGCAGGTGGGCGGGGCCCCGGCGCCGGGGTGGGCGGTGTCGCCGGCTCACGCCTCTCTCTGGCGGTCCCGGCCCGCCCCGACCCAGTCAAAAGCCGCGCCCTCCATCCTGGCGGTGATTGGGCGCGGCGTCCCGAAATGACGGCTGCTCATTGGCTCCGAGGAGGCCCGGCCACCCGTAGGCCCGCCCCTCCTGCCAGCCCCGCATTCCCCAGCGCGGCTATTCGTCAGCCGCGCTCCCTCTCCCACCAGGAGGGGAACGTGGGGCGTGGCGAACACGGGGATGTAGCTGCGCGTTTTCCTCTCTTCTGGGCACCGCAGCCGGGGCGAGCTGCCCGCCCCTCTCATTCCTGGAAGGAGCTCGCCCCTCTGGCCTGGACCATGTATTAAGGCTCCCGCTTCTCGGGCTCTTTCTCCCCTGAGCCCCCCACTGGCCGCCAGGGCATCTCCGACTGGCCTCCTCCCCTCGCCGCGGTCTGGCTCCTCTCCCCCGTCTCTAGTGCCCTCATATTCCATCCTCTCACTCCGCGCAGAAAGGGACCGGAGAGGCAGTTGCTCCCCACTTCCCGAGAAGACCCCCTGGCCAGCCAGTGTTTCGGGGCGGGGGGCGCAGCGAGGAGGCCTGGCGCCCTTTTGCTGCAGGTTCTGTGCCCAGCAGTGTCTCCCAGACCAGCACCCCCCGACCCTCCAGGCTCCATGTCTTAGAGGAGCCAAATTCGAGAGTTATATAATTTCTAGTGCTGCTGTTCCTCCTGCCTGAGGAAACCCTTCATCGCGCGGAGGGTGCAGGACATCTCTGAGCTCTTCTTCTCTATCAGGACGGGGTGTGGGCAGGGGTGGCCCGCGGTGGCAGAGATTGCCCGTCTTTTCTGCAAAAGGAAGGTGGGTCGTTTGGAGAGAGAGATTGAGAGGCAGGGTGGAGGTGGAAGCCAAGCGGCCGAACTCTCTCTCCTTTAGGAAATCGCCAGCCCTGTGCACAGCTGGTGCTCACATGCCTAATACTACAGCGTCTCCGAAAACACCTTCGCGGGAAGGGTTGGCGGCTCTGGACCGGTCCCGGCGCTTTTCCTCGCTGGGCAGGCAGCTGCCTGGACGCGAAGAGATGGCACGATGTGAATGAATGACTCCAGGGTGAAGAGACCTGCTTCGCCAACTCATCCTGCATCAAGTGCCCCCCGAGTAGCACTGTCACTGTAACGCCTCCGTGCCAGGGGATTGCTTTCCTGCTTTTCAATCCTCCCGGTTAATACATGGGAGGATCAGAATCAGAGGGGGCATTAAGGATCAAGCCTGAGGGGCTCGGAGAGGACAGAAGGGAAAAAATGAAAGTGACAGCAAGCTGGATCCTGCCTTACTGAGGGGTGAGATCTGGAACTTGTGGTCCAGGGAACGGAAAGGGGCCTTTCAGTCTGTGTTCTGCTCCGGAAAAACTGTTCAAACTCACCCACCTTTTTAGAGATCAGAGTCAGAGGTTTTCAAAAGTATTTTGGGGGGGGGGGGGCAGGAGGGAGGGTGGAGGGTATTTTAATTTTTCTCTAAAGAACGGAGGATCTTTATCATCAACCAGATCATCTTTGAATCCGATCATGTATTGAGCAGTGAAACTGCTTTGTAAATTTGGTTTGTGCCTTAATTGAGTTAGTCATTGAACTCCAAAAATGTTGCTGCCCGAAGAGGAGTTTTAATAACGTTTTTTATGCTTACAATAATTTTCTCAGCTTTTTTTTTTTAAACCAATACTATTTTATAAAAACTGAAGTTATATTTCTCTAAACTCTGTGGGCAGTTTCAAAAGTTTAATTGTGGAAAAAATACATTATTTTTTCTTTATCCGAAAGAGAAGACAGCCTGGACTTCAAAACCAAGTAGGTGAAGTGGTTTGCAACAGTTACCTGACTCTTAGCCTCAATCCAGTTGGATAAAGTTGAGACCTGAAAAGAGAGCTTGAATCCTGTGGCAGTGGAAAGATCAAGAATGCCAGTCAAGAAGAAAGGTGGGCATTGAAGCTTCCTATGCAATATATATTTCTTGGTTCTGGTAGTTGTAATTTAAATTGTATTCCATTTGAAAGTAAGATTTGGCTTGGGCAAATATTGATTACAATAACATCTTTTCTGTGGCACATCATTCAGTAATCTTATTTTGCTAAAGTGAAATGAAGTAGGACTGTAGTATTTAATTGCAGACATCGATGATTTCATAAATCAGGTGGTCTAAATCACCATAATCAGCATAGATATGGGATCTACTTTGGTATTTTAAAGGTTAGTTTTAAACAATCTTTAAAAAAGAAACGTGTACAGTCGAGTTCTTTCTCATAGATTTAATATTTATCAAGTGAATTACATAGTGTAAAAAATAGCAAAGTTGTTTGCACTGAACAAAATTATGGATTTATTATTTATATTTTGATTAAAAATATATTTCATATTTGGGTTTATTTTTGTGCTAAAGTACAAGTTTGGTAACTTGTGCTTTTCGAGATGTCTGCCTTATCCAATAGCATGATTGGCAAGTTCCCCAAATGAAGCAAACACCTGAATCCCTACCTCTTATCCCTCCCTTAAATTGATCAAGATCAGTGGATTCCTAAAGTATAGTTTGTTATAGCCCAGTCCTTGGGAGATTCATTTCAGCGTAGCTTTGCTGCGCGTTATCTTTCTTGCTAAGGATCGTAGTGAAACCAGGTATTTTTTTGACCTGGTATGGAAGATCAGATCAGCTACAAAGTTTTCTCAAGGGTTTTGAACCAAAATTTATGTGAACACCCTTGAACTCTATTATACTGGCTAATAGATCTAAATGCTGACCAGTTGTGTGAGTTGCTACTATTGGAAACTAAAGTTTGGGGGTGAAGGTTAAAGTGAACCTGCCTGTGCACGGTGATTCATCCTCCTACCTGTCGCGTTGGAAGGTGCACTGAGGAAACAGTGTGATGCTTTACCCAACCAGTGTCTGTGGAGATGGGCAATGATGTATAAAACCTTTGGAACACACCTAGAAACATCCCTTTGTACACTAGGATTTAGGAGTGGCATTGTTTCCTTCTCCCTCTCTTCCCCATAGTATCACTGAGAGAAGTGAACTGTCTCTGAGATTTTGGAGCCACACCTGTCTGTACCTGACACAATTGGCTTATCTGGAACCAAAATGGTTTCAGTAATGTAGCCAATAAAGGATATAGGTGCTTGACTTATTTAACTTGTAGTGTGTTTTTATTCTTTCTACCACTCACTGTTCTCCAGAGAGAAAAGATAACTGGGAAGGAGGAGGAACGGGTAACTGATGTTCCAGCAGGGCGAATTTCAGGTTTCTAAACCCAGTGGGCCGAGCCTTTTAAGAGTTCTGAACTTTAAAGGAAGTTACAAGAATTGCTTATACATGATGGAAAGTCATACTTAAGGAGAAATAATTTAAATTTTATTTCCTTTTTTCCATCTTTCTTCCTATCTCCCTCTTTCCTTCTTCTCTCCTTCATTCTCCCCCCTCCCCCTTCCTTCATTAACAATGGATTGATTGTAATGGATCAGATTTTAAGGAATCGAGTTCTAGATAGCAAAAACTGTATATATTTGGGTTATACTAAAGTATATGCATTATTTAATTTACTTTGTGAACTGATCTAGTTAGAAAAATTTATCTTATTTTTAATCTCTTAAAACTATTAGTATGAAGTTATATTTTTTAATCTTATAAACAACTAGCCAACAAATTATGACATGTGCATTATATTTTTTAATTGGCTAACCTTACTTTTGTACAATTTCTAAAATATGAGTAAAACAAATATTTTTAAAGTATAACCTGAATTTTTATTCTGTGGGGAGTACTGGCCTCTGTCATCTTGAATCATTTTTTTTCATTGTTACATCTGATGGATATGACAGGGGAGCTAGATTAATGTAATTTTAGCAATAACTATCTTCATTGAGCCAAGTGTTTACTCATTATTTAATATATTCTTATTAAAATAAGAAACTCTCATTTGGTGTCTATTTTATGTTATTGTAAAAGTAGAGAGGAGATTCTATGATTGGGAAGTGGGAATGGGTGTGTGACATCTGAGTCCATTTTTAGGCACTATTCTTGACTGTTCTTAGATAAGCTAAAATTGGTGTACCTCCAATCCCTGTATTCACTGCTTTTTTTGCTTTATGACATTACTTCCTACCTCTACCACTCCACTCTCTTCATATTTTTATAGATCTAAGTTTTAACAACCTTTCATTCCTTTATTAAAGATTTTTTTCTCTGAGAGTTGCTTTTTATTCAGGATTCTCTTTTCTACAGTAATAACTTGATTTGTTCCCAACTGAACCTGTAGCACACTTTGACCTATTTTAATTTGTGAAAATTCAGGGCTAATCCAAGATCAGTTATAGTAGCATTATCTGATATGATCATGGTAAAGTGCTATTTCAATGAAACTTCAATCTATTTTCAAGATGGATTAATATAAGAAATAAAAGTTAATGATAATTGTGTCCTTACCAGTGTTTTCAGTGGAAAGTTGCTATTTTAATGATAAAATATGCTTCACCAGAATTTTTTTAGTACATTGCAGTTTCTTTTTTGAACAATTTTTAGTCTCTTTTTATTAACTATGTGAGAGAAAACTATGCTTTTAATATCTGGAGGCTGATGCTCATTTCCTTTCTGTGTTTTAAAAATATTGTCCTATTATCTTCTGAACTTCTTTTAAATTGGTAAAGAAGTTACCTAACATTTTTCATTTTTCTGACACTTTATTTCCTTTGAAGTATTTTTTTGCAACTTTCTCGGTTATATAATGGAGTATGTATAAATTTATTTTCACCAAGTACTGAAAGTTAAATACTATAATTTTCACAATTCATTGACATTGTTCTTTTTAAAGAAAGCTGAAATATGAGTAAAACAAATATTTAACAAATATGTGTAACTAGAATTCAAAGAGATGATGTCATATATCTCATGGGCGTCTTTGAAATTGAGATTGTTGTTTCTGGGTTCACAG